AGAGACTTTTCGGCCATCGATGTGGGCGACCAGTTGCAGATCCGGATTTTCAAGTACATGCGCGCTCTGCCGTAACTTGTGGACGCCGCCACGACCATAGGCTGTCGCGACGGTTGTCCAGAGAGTTGGCGTTGTCGATATCAGCTCACGCCAGTATCGGCACGTCGTTGCTAGGTTGTGTAAGCCTTCCATAGAGGTCTGGGGAAAAGGCCAGTGGCCCGGTGGCGAGACGTAGGTACGTTCCTTCTGACAGGAGAGCTCGAAGACGAGGGATATAGTGAATAGGCAAAGCTGCGTTGATGAGACCGCCTACGACAACGGTCCCCTTGTGTAATGCGATAGCGAGGGCCCGCAGCTGGCGTAGTGGGTGTCAGTAGAGAGCAAGAGCCACGTAACGGCCTAGGTTACTAGCTAACCACTTCGGTATACCTATGTAAGAAGTCAATGTCAGCAGAATTGTGGACGAGGCGACTGATGACACCTACCTCCCGGTGCGTACATTACTTCGCAACAACCCAAGCACCTCGACTTCATTTGAGATTTGCTTGCTCAGTAACTCCAAGACGCTGAGATCCATCACGCTACAAGGGTTCTGAGGAAATGGAATAGGAGTAGAAAGTCTAGAGCTGGAGTTGGTATATGGGAGGGCAATAACTCCAAGGCGGTGAAGTCCATCGTTCTACGAGGGATCGTACGAGAGGATGTGGGAGACTATTCTAGAGAACGTCTGGAGTTCCAGTTGGTACACGGGAGGGAGCGTATATTGCAGAGATATGTAGGACACGGTAGATGAACGACTCCATCATCTGGAAATAAAATCAGATATACCGTTAGCGCTCAGCACGCCCGTGGGACAGAGCAAATGATGCAGCGGCGTCGGCCGCAACCGGCTGGCCTGTCATCGAGAAATCTTGATGTCCCTCACTGCACTGGCAACTCTTCCTAAGCACGCTCTTTCTATGCGATAGATTGCACTCATGTACGTTTACAGTCGTAGAGCTGTGAATTGTCTCGTGACTTGCAGAATGACACGGAATCTGGACCATAGCTTATCATATCGGAGGCGATCAATCCTCGTTCGATTGGTGTACTCCTACTATCATGTCAACATGCTGCTCAACGTGCCACACAGATTCTAATCTCACCACGAATTGCAAGATTGATACACAATATCTAGCGAGTCATCAACCACAACCTAAGTACCTTCTCGGTCGCACTATCGCAGCGAGCCGGCAGCGTAGGCCGCACGATGGGCTCGCCCGCCTCGAGCTCACTGTCACGGAACTAGCTTTTCCAGAGCCATCAAGGTCTTGTGCCTTCTCGTGATTTTGGACAAGGTCTTCGCCTACGTACATACGCTATCGACTGATGGCACAGTCAGCTCGCCATCATCAGTCCCTCATCTTTCAATCTCGATGGGTATGTCATTCGGCACACAACAAGAAATTACTTCCAGCTCTTCTGGAGTCTCATTAGGTCTGAGGGTTCGTGTTCCGAGTCAGGCTGGTTGGATAGCCTAGCCAACAGAGCATTATACGCTCAACTACCTGTTGACGAGCGCCTAATCACCACATCGAGTGCTTTATCCGTCTATAGTATATTTGCAGTAAGATTAAACCATGTACAGTCCCCTTATTACCCAGAGTGCGTCTGTCTATTTATTCAGGCATTCATACATCATATCATCAACAATTCGGCTCGAAATCTCCGGGATTCACAGCTTGTAAGACCCCCTCGACCTGTACATGCGTCGCGCAACTGCCGTGGTATTCACATCCTGGAATGCGAATAGCGCACCAGGCCCACCGCAGATGCTCGTCGTATCGCCGCTACATGCCATGTCGCACGCGTCATCAGGTAGGACGGCGCCACCATCGTTCACGAATGCGCTCCCGCAATAACATTCGCGAGCGTACTCAACGCCAGCCACGGGATGGCCCAGGGAGGCGCAGTGCGCGATACATCCAGGGATCGTCATGTTGTCGCTGGTGAAGGCGTCCATATCGAGTGTCCGCCCCGATACGTCGTCTTGACGGCATCCGATGGAGGCCCATCCATCCGGCAGAACAACCGTGGTGTTTGATGGAGCACTGGAGCTCGCAGGAACAGATGTAGCAATAGACTGGGAGGTGGATGCAGAGATCGAGGGAGTAGCGGAACCAGCGACGGATGAGGCCGAAGAGACAGGAGTAGAGGTGGCGGAGAAAGACACGGGGGAGGTCGGGGAAGCGGAAGAGATCGGCACGGAGGGAACCTGCGATGCGGTAGTAGATACCGAGACCGCTAAAGATGCGGAGGTGGAGGGTGCAGCAGAGGATGCAGACGATTGGAGAGCAACTGTGGCGTTGGACTGGAACGCGCTCAGTGCCCAGCTGCCACCACATGTACTCAAGGCATCTCCAGCACAGACGACGTTGCAGCTCGCAGGATCCAGCGCTTGTCCAGCGCCGTTCTCGAACGCGTTTCCACCTGAACCAACCAAACAATAAGCCTGGAGGGCCGTCCTCAAGTTGGCAATGGACTTACAGTAGCATTCGCGACCGAATTCTATACCGGCGATCGTGAAGTTGTGAGAGGAGCATGTCGCTACACACGACGCGTGAGTCATCTGGTCGTCCGCAGTGCTGAAACCAGTCAGTGCGCGTGCTGGGTCATCAGACACACAGCCAGCGAAAGACCATCCATCCGGAAGGATCGTGTCGTTGGGGGGAGGAGGGGGATTAGAAGTGACAAGGAGGGTAAGCCGCGCGGGACCGCCGCAAATCTCGTTATCTAAAACCTGCCCATCAGCAATAGTGCATGTGCCAGTAAGCCGACGAAAGGGCGTACCGTTGCCAGCGCAGTGGTTTGTGCACTCGTTCCATATCAACGTGGTGTTCGTCGCGCCATTCCGCAGCTCGTCGTCGCAGTAGCACTCGTCGGAGAACTCAACTCCTGCGAGCGCAAAGCCCTTCGACTCACAAAACGCGACGCACGCCGCGCGGGTCAGGTTCGGACTTGTCGTCGAGGCGCCAATCAACGCGCGCCCGTCCGTGCCCTCAGCGATACACCCGATCTTGCTCCAGTTAGTTGGAAGCGGGGTCTGTGCCGGGATCAGTTGCGGAAGCTCCGCGTCGCTCAAACACTCCGTTCGCAGCCCGGTACCGTTCCACAAGGGGTTGCAGCCTGGTAAGGCTGAGAGTGGGGTCTCGAAGCCGGTGTCCTCGTCTACGATCTCCGTCTCCAGCACGCAAGCATCCGCAGAGGCCTGGTCCATCGCAGCGGCGAGCGGCGGACAGTCCATGACGTTTCCAGTCGCGTTCGGGCAGTTGTCGATAGCGTTCTGGAGGAGGTCGACGTCCCAGCCGTTCGTGAAATCGCCGTGGTGTCCGTACCCGGTCGTGTCGCCGTTCGCGAGTACCCATGTGCCGTTACCCCAGAAGTCGAATTGATCCACAGAGACAAACATCTCGTAGAAGAGCGAGACGAGATGGACGGGGTGGCTGTCAGGGCAGTCACCGCCGTTATAGTTCTGTATCGGGTAGGCCATGTGCGACGTGTGGTCGGGGGAGTCGAGATTGACACCGTCCCAGCAGGAGGGAAAGAACACTTGGGCGCGCATGCCGTCCGGGCAGTTGTGGTCGAAGAAGTTCGGCCGCTCATCCCAATCGGGATCGTTCGAGTGGTCAGCATTGAAGTCTAGGCGCATGTCTCAGTATGCGTGGCGCAATTAAGGGATAAAATTGCAGTACCCAAGCAGACAAAGCTGATGGCTTGTTGTGCAAAGTCCGAAGCGTTATATGAACGCCTGTTGGGGTCTCCTGCGACCATCTTAGGACAAGATGCGTCAAGTAGCCATATCGTTCCATGTGCCTGATGTGTACTCACACGAAGGCCAGGGGGGAAAGCCTTGATGGACTCAGTCATCGGGCCTGGCCGCATGAGGTAGTAGATATTGAATGATGTTGCTGAAGCACCGATGTCAACCCGTGGTCGTGCGTGCAGAATGAATGGAAAAAGTGGGAAAGGTACTGGCCGCTCTATAACTGGCAACGCCAACGTGGCGTGTAGATATTGGCCAGTCACCATACGAACAATCCGGCGCGCCTGGCTTGGGAACAACACCCTTGCTTCACGGGGCGTTAGCTCAGGCAGTTCACCAGGTCCTCATGGCGAATGAGGCTGTACGTCTAAGGAGGTCACCATATGGAGTGACTAGTAGCCCACCCGGAGCAGTTAAGCTCTCGTGGGCGCTGAGGAGTTCGCAGCGGCTGTGATCCACGCAAGCTTAGGACCCCGGCATTTGTGTCAAACAAGGTACCGGGATCGCTGTCCACCTTATGTATCGATACCCCGGCAGCTGACAACCAACAGTCTTCCGGCGTGCGATAGACAGCCCGAGGAAGAGTCGATAGAAGTAAAGGTACGCACGAATTGGAGTGAATAGACTCGTGTTCTGATCCTGGTGGTACAATTGAGGCTACCGTAGGTACAGCTGGTCAGCCTTGGGACTGGGACGGAAGCAACGGTACACCCACCGCCCAGTAATTGCTCTTGTCAGGCTGCACAGGGATTGTGGTACAGTTGCTCTGAACGAGGTCTGCCGGGTCGTAGACGTTCTGGAAGCGGCTTGCGCCCACAATCGAGTGGACGTGCGAGCCGATCTGGTGGGCAGGCGGTCAAAATTCTGAACCCCGTGACTAGAGTAAAAGCGACACTTACTGCATTGGGGCTGATGACGGGGTCAAGGCGGGTCGTAACAATCGGTCTAACGCCGCCGAAGATCCAGTGCTCAGCACTGACCACTGTAGCTAAGGTGACGAGTGTCCACAGCGCAGTATGCATGACTGAGAAAAACCGTAGGAGATTGGAACACTGTTCGGGGTGGGTAAGGGTGGAGAATCTCTGCACTCGAGCAGCAGGTTTATATACCTCGTACCAAGTGATGCAAGAGGTCCTTTCGGCCCAGTACACCGTACGAGGATAGTGTCCAATAGTCGACATGTTGGACGGGCCAGATATTCCGGTGCGACCACGCTGCATGAACCTCAATAGAGCTCATATTAGCCTTCCTCGACATGTGAAAGAGCAAGCTTGACGAACAGAGAAATGGCGCTGTGAGAGGATCAACGACAAGACAGTTCTCAGTCGGGGAAACTGGCACCCCAGCAAGGGGGCTGATGAGAATAAGGCTATGTTAATAATGCTGTTTAGTCAACGATCCCCATGAGAGTAAAGATATTTTGCACCTGACGTTCTTAGTCAATCGACGCGATCATTCCATTGGTATGGCAATGTCAATCACGATTCCATGCACAGCGAGACGCGTCAATGGGACCCAGTCCCTAGCAATCATCGCGAACACAGTATGGGTGCTTGCAAACGACAGAGTTAGCAAAGACTAGCATTTGCGGTTGCGCCATCAGCAAGCTCCTCGGATTGGCTATCGTGGACCAGCAGCGGGAAGACGACACGTATAGCATGGACCGGAGAAACCGATTTCAACAGGAACGGCGAGTGAGACCGACGGTAATCGGACTTCGGATCGCTAAATATCGGTACCATCAAGGTCAAGGTTTTGAACAGTGCTGAGCTGCTCGGAGGCACACCGGCTCCGGTCGAGAACGTCCAGGAGCTTCAAAGAGGCTTTGAGAATCAATTAACGACTTGGCCATCTGTGAGTCCAGGGAATGTTCGCACCGCACATGTTTCACGCAACCTTCAAGTACCAGGTTCGAAGAACTTAGCCTTGACGGTGAGAGGAATTTGTTCCAGATGCGACTTGGGGTTGAGTTTGTTCAGCATATACAAGCCCGCGTTCATGGGCTGAACACGGACTCGATATGTTCGGCACCACTTTGTTTGTCACTTCTACGTAAGTGGACTGTACACGCTGGACCTTATGTCCTAGGTTCGATAGGCTGAGTTCCTGTTGACAGAGCATTCGCTGTCATCTTATCAACCAACGGCCAGGGCACTGCAGAGGCAACCGAAGTGCTTATGTGTCAGATGAGGATCTTGTAGCCACGGTGGCCAACCATAGATATTGATATCTTACATATGTCGTCCAAAGCTGTTCGACCGACTTGAAGAAAGTTTCTCAGGAGCTGCTGTACGACCATGTCTTTCGAGCTTGAGAATCGGGCTCTGGTGATTGGTGGTATGGCCGATAGAGGTAGACGTTATGGCCACTCCAAAAAAACCGTTATTAAAGCGATGCAAAGAGCACATGCATACAGTCGACAAGAAGACAAGGAGCAGTCAAGCGATTAGCTTTCGGCCCGGCGAAGCTCGAGTGGAAGCAGCGATCTGAGCAACCCGGATGCAGCCGCCGTTCCGAATAGATTACATAGATGAGATCAATCGTGCAGCTTAGATTACACAGGAGTACATCGCGCGACTGGAATTCGCTAGCACGGGCTCCCAGCGGGGGCCACCGCCCGGCCGTGCGGATTTCAATGGTCATAAAGCCACCCAGATTTTGGGTGGCGCGACACCAGGGCACCCATAAGGCCGCCAGCGGTGATACGTGGGTGCCCTGGCCCCAAATATGGTAAATTTCTGGTCAGCAGGGCGCTTAGGGGTTGCTCGAGTGCGGTAGATGGTGTTGCTTTGACTGCAAGCACTGTTGTATTGGACGACTTTAACACGCGTAGAATGCAACTAATATATCTCATTGACTCAAAGCAAACAACCATGCGTAGCTAATCCTCCATACGACTGGAAAGGGCGGGCCCCAATTGTTCCAGGTCGACGGAGCCGTCATCGTCATCCTCCTCACCTTCCTGGGTGCCAGCATCCTCCATTTCGACCTCGGGCTCTGGTGCTCCGGAGCGAGCTGGGATGGGGACGTTGGTGCTCTCTTCAGTGAGGCCGACGTCGTTGTCCTCGTGGGTTGAGGATCTCGCGTGACCCCCCTATAACGGCATTCTGTGGCCTCAATATATCATTTTAAACCTGCCCTACGCTAACGATGGACTGTACGACTTACTCTGATCCAGAACTGGCCATATGGAGAGAGAATTCAAGGTGAGATGAGGGGCCACGCAGAGACGATCTCCCAGAATACACGACGCGATGGTGGAAGGAAGAAGGCAGCGATAGCACCGGCGCCTCTTAGGGCGAGTGCCTGTCTCGGCACAAGGCTCTCATCGAAGTCGCTCAGGACACCCCGCCACCGGCGCGTCCTTTGATTTCCGTTGACACAACATGGCCCACTGACGCGACCAGTGGCTTCCGCAAGGAGGCCAAGCGAAATCCGCTGGTCTTTATAACCATTGGATTCCGGGTGGTGTCCTCGGTGATCAGCATTGATCGCGCACGGGGCCTCTGATGGGCGCCTCCTCCCCCCAATTCCCGTCGCGCGATGTACTCCTGTGTAGGTACCGGCTAGAGGAGATCAAATAAGGCAGCTGGCTTAGTTTAGATAACAGCTTCGCCTGCACATGAGTCCAATCTATATCCCTGCTATTGCTTGGAGATATTCTTGACTTCTTTATGTCTCGTTCCGCTCCTATCAGTCTCAGTCAGACTACAGTAGACTAAACCAGAGTTCGGATGCACTACAGGTGCGAAGCGGACGGTGCTTCGGTAGCCACGTCCGAGTCTTGCTGCTGGCGGATCACATACTGATGAGCTGTTGAACAATAGACCCAATGTCCAAATATTCGCTACCATGTTGCGTCAGGTCAACTAACTTCTTAAATACAGATGATCATGCATGACCTGCAAAACCGAACCGCAATGTGACGGCTTAGGCTACTGGCAAGGAATCGGTGGTGTTTGATGGTACACTAGAACTCGCACTTAGGGTAGAGCCCGAAACAGATATGGCAGTAGACTGGGAGGCGGATATGGAACTGGAGGCAGTAACGGACGACGTAGCTGAGCTGGCGACGGAGGGGACAACAGATACAGGGACCGAAGTTGCTGGCAAAGATGCCGAGGAAACTGGGGAAGAGGACGAGATAGGCACGGATGACACCTGAGATGTCGATGTTGAAAGAGATGTCGATGTTGAAAGAGATGTCGATGTTGAAAGAGATGTCGATGTTGAAAGAGATGTCGATGTTGAAAGAGATGTCGATGTTGAAAGAGATGTCGATGTTGAAAGAGATGTCGATGTTGAAAGAGATGTCGAGAAGGCCGATGAGGCGGACGTCGAAGGCGCAGCAGGGGATGAGGTCGCCGACGATGGGAGAATCACCGTGACATTGGACTGGAACGCGCTCAGCGCCCAGCTGCCACCACAGGTGCTTAGCGCATCTCCTGAGCAGACGACGCTGCAACTAGAAGAGTCCAGGAGGTCGCCACCTCCGTTCGCAAAAGAATCACCACCTAGTCGCATAGAAAAGTTAGACGAGAGCTGCATTCTCGGATGAACGAGGCACCCACAGTAACATTCACTGCCAAATTCTATACCGGCGATCGAGAAGTTCTGAGAGGAGCACGTCGCTATGCACGAATCGTGCGTCATCTGGTTGTTCGCGGTGTTGAAGCCTGTGAGGGCGCGTGCTGGATTGTCTGACACACAGCCGACAAAAGACCATCCAGGTGGGAGAATGGTGTCGGGCGGCGGAGGAGGGGGGTTTGAGTTGACAAGGAGGGTAAGGAGCATGGGACCACCGCAGATCTCATTGCCTACGACTCGACAATCAGCACTCAAACTAACGGCAATCGACCAGTAGAAGGACGTACTATTCCCAGCACAATGGTTCGTGCACTCGTTCCACGTCACCGTCGCATTCGACGCGCCATTCCGCAGCTTGTTATCACAGTAACACTCGTCTGAGAACTCGACGCCAGCCAATGCGAACCCCAGCGACTGGCAGAACGAAGCGCATGACGCGCGCGTCATATTTGGGCTCGTCGTGGATGCACCGACCAATGCCCGGCCGTTCGTGCCCTCGACGATACACCCAACCTCGGACCAGTTGGTCGGAAGCGGGATCTGCGCTGGTATCAGCTGCGGAACGCTCCCGTTGCTCGAGCATTCCGGCCGCGTTCCGGTCCCGTTCCACAGCGGATTGCAGCCTGGTAGCGACGAGAGCGGAGCGTTGAAGCCGGTTTCCTCGTCAACAATCTCCGTCTCCAGCACACAAGCATCTGCAGACGCCTGATCCAGCAGGGCAGCGAGAGGCGGACAGTCCCCGACATTCCCAGTCGCGTTCGGACAGTTGTCGATGGCGTTCTGGAGGAGGTCGACGTCCCATCCGTTCGTGAAATCGCCGTGGTGTCCGTACCCGGTCGTGTCGCCGTTCGCAAGAACCCAGGTACCGTTACCCCAGAAGTCAAACTGGCCGACGGATACATCCATCTCATAGAAGAGCGAGACGACGTGGACGGGATGGCTCTCCGGGCAATCGCCGCTATTGTAGTTCTGAATTGGGTAGGCCATGTGTGATGTGTGGTTGGGAGAGTCGAGATTGACACCATCCCAGCAAGAAGGGAAGAACACCTGGGCGCGCATACCATTCGGGCAGTTGTGGTCGAAGAAGTTCGGCCGCTCGGCCCAGTCGGGGTCGTTCACGTGGTCATCGCTGTCGTCTAAATGCGCGTGTCAGGACGCGTCGCGAGAGAAGACATGACACATACCCAAACAGACAAAGCTGATGGCTTGTTGAGCGAAGTCAGACGCGTTGTATGAGCGCCTGCTCGTGTCTCCAGCGATCATCTAAGGTGGCATCTGTCAGTTAACCGTTTCTCTGAGTACGTATGTGCCTGATGTGTACTAACACGGAGGCCAGGCGGAAACGCCTTAATGGACTCATTCTTTGGGCCCGGTCGCAGGAGGTAGTAGATATTGAAAGACGTCGCTGCAATGACATTGTTAGCTTGTGATCAAGTTCTTTTGGGCGACAGGAAAACGGCGCGGAACATGAGATGAGCCGCATTAGAGCTAGCGAGACCAACGTTGTGTGAGCAGATATCACAACGGGGAGCGTACGCGATTGGGAATCTGCCAAACTTTGTTGCCCACATTACCCTCGCATTACGAGATATCTGCTCTGGAAGCACTCAAGATCCGCGTGGCCAGTGCCCAAGAATTCTGACCCCGCTGCCACGTCTCAGGAGGTCGCCAAATACGGTATGTAAGGGCACCCAGCCTGAAGTAACTATCGGAGGCTTTGAAAACCTCCTGATCGGAAAAATCCCCCCTCTGCGTTGTGTCAGACAAGGTATCGGGACGACCGTACGACGAGCCTATATCAAGGCAGACAGCACCAGATCTTCCGGGATACAGCGCACAAGCCGAACGGCATTCTAGGAAGGTGATACTACGCACGGATTGGAGTGAATAGCCCAGTATTCTGATCTTGATGGTACAGTTGAGGCTAAGCGCAAGTCAGAGCTCGTCGGTGTCAATATTAGGACAGGTGCTGTGACTAACTCACCGCCCAGTAGTTGCTCTTGTCTGGTTGTACGGGAATTGTGGTACAGTTGCTCTGGACGAGATCGGCTGGGTCATACACATCCTTGAACCGGCTTGCGCCCACAACCGAGTGGACGTGTGATCCGATCTGACGTGCAGGCGGTCAGAGTGCTATACTCCGTCGGGAGGGAAATAAGAGCGACACATACCGCATTGGAGTTGATGACGGGGTCAAGACGGGTCGTGACAATCGGTCTAACGTTACCGAAAGCCCAGTGTTGTTCGGCATTGACAGCCAACACGAGCGTAACGAGCGTCGACATAGTGGTACGCATAGCTGAGTGGGAATTGCAGACGCGATCGACACCGTTCGAGCTGGGTGATGAAGCACCTCCGCACTCAAGCAAAGGACTTTTATACCTCGTACGGAGAACAGCATCAGCTCGCCTTGAGCTCTGCGTATACCCCACGAGGATGGGACTCAAAAAGTGTCATTCTGAAAAAGCTAACATCCCGGCATGCACCATGCTGAACGAAGCTCACAAAACCTTATATCAGTCTTCCCGACATGCGAAAGAGTGAACTTGACATACAGAGAAGTGGCGCTGTGAGAGCATCATTGACCAGACGGTACTTAACCGGGAAAATTGGCACCTGAGCGAGATCCCTGGTGAGAAAAGAGCGATGGCGAAGGTACGTTGAGCAAACAGACTACTAGATAATCATTCCATATGGGTACGGCCGTGTCAATCTCGGCTTCATGAGTTACGAGATGTTGTGCCAGTGGTTGCACACCGTCCCTGGCTGGCGATCGTGGCATAGTACAAGGCGGATATCGCTATAAGACGAGTTTGGGGTTCCAGAGCTGTCAGCCGGAGTACAGGCCTTCCTCCGCCACTTTGCTGGCTGCCAGATGAGCAGAGGTACCCGTAGTCAGCACGCGCCACTTACACGACCATTAAGCGATGATTAATTTACTGACCATGATCTACCTCCAGCTCATGTCTCAAGAATCCGGTGGGTCAGGCTCCAAGACCTCCTCAACAGACTGCTCCAGACTCGATAGACTGTTCTAATATGAGCGTCCGGCGTTCGAGAGCAAGCCTCGGAAGTACAACGGCCGCTGGCATCGAAATGTTGAGAGGGACGGGATTTGCAGGGTCACCAAGCATCAACTAGGACATCGAGTGAAGCAAGGCGACGGCTGGAGTTTCTCGGAGTTGACATATGCTTGACTACATAGGAGCAGAACAACTGGCCGTCCCAGTCAATCGATTTCGCTGAGGGGAAAGCGGCCACGGCCAGCGGCCGCATATGCCCATCCGCTGGAGATTGGGATAGATTAGATAAGATCAAGAATACCTCATCGCCGCCACTTCGCTCATCGCAGCCTCATCCCGCTCCATTTACGCGCCCACCTACGTCCTCGACATCTCCTTCTCCACGTCTGTCGACATTGTGCACCAAATCCCACCACTTCCTCGATACCACATCTCGGAGTGTACTCTGAGGAATTCAGCACCTAGACGTAGACAACACTAGATCAACATCGCATCACCGAATTTGGAGTCATGGCTACGAGTGCAGATTCCGCACCCAAGAGTACCCTCCCATACCCCCCGATTCATAAGGACAAGAAATTTGTCGTCCTTTCAGACTGGTTGGTCCGTCCTTCTTGTGCCATTGTCCCTGTTTACACCTGATCCTGCTTCATCTCAACTGGTGTTTACTCCGACATACTTTCTCCGCCTTGTTCTCGATCAGCGGATGCTAACAATATCTCGCCGACCACAGGGATGGGACCATTACGACTCGGGATTCCAACGATTGTGAGTTCTATCACAATACTTCTTCTGCTGCGTGTCGTCGCTGGTCATCGATATCGATCATCCGTCCGCGACCTCCATCTGACGTCAGTTATGGTTCCTGGAGAGCGCATGATCTACATCTGTGCATCAGGTTCACGTTCCTTGTGCAAGCGATTTGCGGCCTGCAATGCTCGATGAATGATAATCAGTATGGCTTGAGCTGACCGCGTATCTCAGACATGACCGACGAGTTGGGTTTCGGTCCTGAGAAACGCCGACAAGGAAATCTGGATATCTTATCAGGAAAGGTTACCTTCCGGTGAGTTTTGTTCATGCATGCAGATTGCAGTCGCTGCAACGACGTCCAAATAGTGATGCCTTCCGGGAGATGCTGGAGAGCGTATCGGGAAACGGCCACTCTTTCGACTTTTGCAAGGAGGAGCTGAAGAAGAGTGAGTATATAAGTCCAGTATTAGCTCAAACGAACGTATGAGACGCCCGATGCCCATCTAACCTTGCTCAATTCGCGCTGGCAGACATCACCCTCGATGCAGGCTTCAAGGACTTTCACCGCTACTGCAAGGAACATGATATCCCCATCGTCATCATCTCTAGGTACGCTCCCCGCCCGCTGCGACCCCCGTTGCCGATCCTTCTCCGATCCCACATGTTCCCATTCATCTCTACCCTAACTCGACTGGCCCACTGACGTAATTGCAGCGGTATGGCCCCCATAATTCGTGCCGTCCTCTCCAGCCTCATCGGTGAGGAGGACTCAAAGGAAATCGAGATCGTCTCCAACGACGTCGACATCCATGAAGACGGTAGTTGGTCTATCAAATATCGGCACCCGACCAGGTACGTGTACTTTTCGTATCTCCCCCCGCGTACTTCTGTAGCCTTGTCGGCTAATAAGGGTTTTGTCAACCATTTAGCGGATTCGGTCACGACAAGAGCCAGGCCATCCTCCCGTATCGGGAGCTCTCTGACCCACCCCTGATCTTCTTCTTTGGCGATGGCGTTTCCGGTGAGTGCCCATCCCGCGCCCGCATGCGTACCTCGCTGCCGCCCATTTGGTGTTCCCAGTTTGCCTGTTCTTGCCCTGTCACCGTGCTGACGGATGGCTTACGTTTTCTTCCAATAGATATGTCTGCCGCACGGCACGCCGACGTGCTGTTCGTGAAGGAGAAGCCGGGTGGGGACAACGACCTTGCCGCATACTGCAACCGCGAGAAAATTCCGCACATCCTCTTCGAGGACTTCAGCCACGCGCTCAAGACTGTCAGCGCCATCGTCGAGGGCAGGACGACTCCTAAGGAGGCTCTTGACGTCGGCAAGGCGCACTGAACTGCGATGCTTTGTCTCTCTCTCTAGCCGTCCAAGACGACGACTAACGGAGGCGAAGAGAGGGATCTAAGTCTCAACGGACCTGTAGGATGATGGCGTGCAGAACGAGACGTTGCAGGATCGGAGGGGAAGGGGCCCTGTGTTTGCGTGCGATAGTGCCATGCGTCAGCGGTGCAGTCACCTCATTGGCCACAGGGGCGTTGTTGTCGTCGAGGCACAATCGGCTAGCAGGATGGAACAGAAGTCAACGAAGCACTGTCAGACGATCGCGGTATCTCGGCGAATGATAATGTTCTTAGACAGTGTTGCTGTCTCGGAGTGCACAAGCTTCTTCCTGTGTCGCTGTTGTATCTGGCTAGTGCGAGACTTGCTGCAAATTGCCATTATAGCCTTGGAGCCTCGCTATATCTATGGGGGTAGAAAGGTCATACGAACTTATCGGTAGTGTCGCCGTCGTCGCAGCGGGGACGCCCTACTACCTAATGACAGAGATCACGGGCATCATGTAACGGTAGCGGGCAGAGACGCGATTGTCTGGAAGATGATATGGATGATCAGTGCAGTGAACATTCCGGCGGACCGCCCACCCCGTGGTGCAACGCATCAACAAGGGCGAATTTATTCTTATTGGTACCGAGCCTCTGAACATGGCACTGATAGCGTATCACATAGGGCGTTTACGATGACGTTCTGTGAAGCCGAGCCTCCTGCTGTAATGCTCGTCGCTGTTTGCATGGATGACGCATTGCATCGGCACAAGTGTATGGGAATATACAATTGTGAAAATGGACACGATCTGACCAATATCTCCAACGTGCCCCCCATTTCCTTCGATGAAGGGAAGCGAGCCGATCGTTGAGGCCAGCTGACATACCCGCTCGGCGGAAGCGGGCTATAGATTGTTTTTCGTCTGGCAGAAACATAATCAGTGTAGTTCTTAGTTATACTTTCCCATAGGTTTCTTGAGCTTTTAATGTCTCGGAAAATTTCAGGGCACAGATGAGTAGCATCATTGCAGCTTTTGTGGCTTGGCTTCGAGTGGCGGGCCTCCTAGCGGATGTGTTGCAAATAACGGCAGGGCTTGACAGGGAATGGAGAGCAGAATCGAAATAATGATCATCTTCCGATCGTTGTTGGGAAGGTGCAAAGCCATGGAACAGACATTGTGTCCCGCACATGATGAAGGCGCTGAGGGTCGGAGCAGTATATAACGTCTAGGAGTCCGCCCACCACACCTATCCTCATCTACTTTCTCAGCATACAGTGAGTAGCTAGACATGTCGACTGCGAAGACCTCTTGGGAGGACCTTGCCCGCCTGGGCTGGCCCATCAACGAAGTTTACAAGAAGGCTAACGCCTGGCGTGGGGGCACTATGCATGGCATAGGGGACCTTTCGCTCAACTCAGGCGTGGCTGCCGAGTACCAGTACGTCCCCATTGCGATGTCTGCTACTGCATTGCAGGTAATGCTCATCGAGCTCTGTTCAGGTGGTGGTCCTACAACACGACCATTGGTGAGCCATACCTCCTCGGCAGGAAGCCTACCTCGATTACGCGTGAGGAGACGGCTTGGAGCTATGACAACACCCACAACAACAGCCCTTTCGAGCAGCAGTGGACTGAATCGTGGACCAACTCGAGCTCTGCCACTCTCACGGTCGCTAACGCTAGTATGTACTTGACTTACTGCTTTCATGTTTCAAAACATTGACTGGGGTGGGCATGAATCAGCTTCCATTAACCTTAGTAGCCATATCACTATCTATAACGTCGCCTCTTCTGGTTTTGACATCTCCGTCTCTACGGAGACCTCGTCAAGCGAGACGAAGGAGTCATCTTATAGTGTGTCGAGCACCTGGAACATGGAGTGAGAGTCACTTGACACGCTCGTGTTCACCTGTTACGCATACTTACCAACCTATCACCTAGCGTCGGTGCGGGCGAGAAGCTGACACTTATCCGCGTCATCACGACCAACAGCGAAGTCGCCGAGTATGCACAGGTAAGCCTATCGAATTTCGGATCCTACAGACATTGACTGAACGGTCATCAGGACTTCGGGCTCGAGAATATCAGTAGGGTCGGCAGTAAGTACCTTTGTTTACAGAATAACCATGAGAGCTGACCGGGCACTCCGCGACCGGCACCAGCCAAGGGTGATAGGTGCGTATCACGCCCCCCATCCGACTTCTATGGCTCACCCCGGACGCCAGGTACAACGGGCATTATTACTGGGGCTTGAACCTCAACTCGCTCCTCAACAATCCTCGTGGACGCTTGAACATACAGGGGAGCAGCAGGACCGTCACGTACGGCTTCAAGCTCGTGCGCGAGGGCCCCAACGGCCGCACCACGACGCCGCTCCCGGTCGACCTCTACGAGGCGTCCGCCTCCCAGGTCGCCCAGGCTCCAGTCGGCGTCCTTGCCAGCTGGACTAAGACGATCGAAGAACACGTCGGCACCGCCCCGACGGAGGACATGGTTCCTGGCACTAAGGAGGAGTAGATGCGCCGAAGAGATGGCGACGTACTAAGGCGTGTACCGTCCGTTGGTCCACACGTGTCTGTTCTGTGTCCGGATGGTGTTGCTGAATACTATGTTTGTGATATGGTCTTGACATTTGAGCCAGTCTTCCGGGCTGCGCTAGCGGCTTGGATTGCCGAATCTGCTTGACATTTCTATTTCTCATTTAACCTCCGGTTTTCTCGGGAGAAAAAGAATTCAACATTCGAACACAACACGACGGCCGTTCCCGGACAGCCGGAGGTGTGCGGTAGTGCCATATAGTTACTTACGTCGCCGCCATGCAAGGCGCATGTCCCTCGGGAGTCCGCAAATAAGCCATCGACCCTTCTCCTCGGAACCATGTCGAGAAGCTGGAAGCCGTCAGCAAGCCCCAGGCACTGAACGCGCCGTGAATGTATGCATGTTGTGCGCGGATCAAGGTGTCTAGAAGCCTTTCACGACTTACGAATTGTAGACTCCCTGCAACCAGTTTCACCCTTCGCCGGGATATAAGGCGCCTCGTGGTCTTTCAAGCGAACTGCACGACAGAGTCGCAAGTCTTTGGACGCTGTCAAAGTGCACAAGCGCTCTCACATCCAGCCCGCGCTTGCCCGCAAACCCTTACTGGACCTGGCGCCCGAAGCAAAACTGCGATCTACATAGATACTTCGACGAGGAGGCTGACAGTCTCGAGAGCAACCATCATCGCCAGCAAAATGACCGCGTCTCCGAATAGGACGTGCCTGAGCCGCGCTCGGAGAGAATGGTGGCCGCTTTCCTTCCCCAGCTTCGGTGCCTTGGCGTTCTTCCTCCCCCGGAGGTACGTTCGGGTTGCTAGGTTATGCCAACGGCAAACAGTGACAGAGCTGACGTACCTCGAAGTGAGAATCGACTGCGAAGTGATTGTGAGAACGTTGCAAATGGATTCTCAACGGAACGGCTTGCGCAGGCGTGTCGGGCCTTATCGCATTGCAGAATGCATGGTGTCTTCGGTGCCAATGCAAATTTAGACGCGGCCCACCGCCCAACGTCCAGGATGCTGAAGTCTTCAACGTGTGAAGATGCTGCCGACGTGAGCTCAATGCATACGTACCACACATGGCCCAGGGTCGCTTCGTCGTGCAGGAGATGCAGACCCCTTATCGCACGGAAATGCTGCGACCCGAGTGAGTGTCGAGAAATGAGATCAAACTGGTGTCCGCGAGGCCCTGGTTGCTACGATCTATATCTGTTTCCATACACGGAAAAGACGCTTTGTCAGGTGCGCCGGGGGGGGTCCTGGATGGCAGGGCACAGGGAGGCCGGAGCGTGTGGACGAGAAGATGGTTCATCCGGAGATGCGCGTCTCCAATCTTGCGCCAATGGGCATGCCATGTCCAGGCGCGTCACACCTCCGCAGGGAGTATAAGAAAAGTTGGAGGATGGAAGGCCGCTCCCCATTCCCTTCCACGGCTCCGTGCCTCCGTGCCAGGCTCTCTCCCTCCTCTTTTCTCCTTCTCCCTCTCGCCCGCCTCGTCTCCCGCTGCCCACCCGGCGACCCGACTTTCTTTTGTCTGACCTCCACACAATCCTTTTCTGAACCGAACCAGTCCTTACTACACTTGAGATGTTCTCCAAGCTCTTATCGCTCGCGGCGCTCGTGGCTGCTGCCAACGCCGAGCACTGGATCTTCGGTGGCAGCCGTCCCATCGTGACCACCCGTCTCGACTCGATCGTGAACCCGAACGCGGTACGTCCGCCTCCCCACCCCGCGCTCGATCACTTTTGCGCGCGTTGGTTTTGCGAGATCGCATCCTGACTGAGCGCGTGCGCGTACCTGGCGCCTGTCTTCTTGTTGTGTATAGATCGGCGGTCACGTCCACTCCATCGTCGGCGCAAGCCGTTTCAAGAACGTGTACGATGCGGACGACCTCACCCAGAGCAAGTGCACGACCATCCCTGTGCAACCCGACAAGTCCAACTACTGGGCGGTGCGTTTATTCTTGGCCCGCTATCAGGGCCCCGCGCGAAAACGAACGCGAGCGCTAATACATGACGTCCTGCAGCCCCAACTGTACCATCGCGATCAACAGACTGGACAGCTTAGCCCGATACGTGCGTATCCTTCCCTCTCTTATCTTTTGCTGCGCTGGCGAGACGTGTTTCGGCTTGCTCGATGGTTCGGAAGTTGTCTCAATTTTCGCCTGCTTCTCGCCGTCTTTCGTTGCATCGAAGGGGGGATTGTGCGGGTCTGGAATCAAGGAAGAGTTGTGGTGCTATATATATATGCAGCGCCGTGGAAGGCGCTGGTTCCTGGACTGAATGAAATCTTTCTGCTTTGCCCCCAGGCCACCACTCGGGTCAGCACTTCCACTGTTGAACTGTTGCTGATATTCTGTTGAATTCGCCACATTCTTGGTCTGGGGAGAGGAAGCAAAAATACTGTTTGCAGCTGGATGATCAATTTATACTTCCATCGCGGCGGGGTGTCTCTTCGATTCACCGGCCACCTTCCTCCGCAATGCATGGGCTAACACTCGCCTGTGACAGCCACGAGCTTCAACATCTACTACCTCATGCGGCCGGGTCCGGAGAACCAGCCCATTAAGGCGTTCCCCAAGGGCTTGCGCGTAAGTCTTGTCCTGGCACAATAATGCGTCCAGATATGCTAAGTATACTGTCTCGCAGATGGTCGCCGGTGATACCAACAGGCGCACCTACAACTCGTCGGACTTCACCAACCAGGCTGTGAGCTTCGTGTGTCTCGGTACGTGTGCACCCGTATTTGGCTACCGTACGGACGTTGACATTCAATTCAGATTACAACACCAACCATGGGAGCGACCCCGACTGGGCCGAGCGGCCGAACTTCTTCGACCACAACTGCCCGGACGGCATGCGCGCACAAGTATTCTTCCCCTCCTGCTGGGATGGTGTCAATCTCGACTCTGCCGACCACAAGTCGCACCTGGCGTACCCGATCCAGAACTACAACTCCGGTGACTGCCCTGACTCGCACCCCGTCCACCTCGTCTCGCTCTTCTACGAGATGCTCGTGTCCGTCGACCAATACTCATACTGGGGCCCCGGCACGTGGGTCCTCGCGAACGGCGACACGACCGGGTACGGTCATCACGGCGACTTCCAGAACGGCTGGGACATCGACCTCCTTCAGGAAGCGATTGACACCTGCACCGCCGCCAACGGCAACGTCATGGACTGCCCGCCCCTCGCCGCCGTGTTCGACCAGGCCTCCGCCGACGCGTGCACGCTCGAGACCGACATCGTCGACGAGAACATCGGCCTCGACAGCCCGATCACGCAGCTCCCGGGATGCAACCCCTTCTGGGACGGGACCGGGTCGAAGCCCGCGTGCCCGAACGCGAACGCCGCTACGCCGAGCCTCGTCGCCGCCCAGCCCCCCCTTCCCAGCGGCTGGAACGAGATCGGGTGCATTGCTGAGGGCACGAACGGCCGCGCGCTCACCGGCGCGTCTACGACCAGCCCGAACATGACCAAGGCGGTGTGCGCGGACTTCTGTGCGTCCAAAGGCTTCAAGCTCGCCGGCGTCGAGTTCTCGGACGAGTGCTACTGCGACAACCAGGTCCGCAACGGCGCGTCGCAGAACACGATCACCTGGAACCTCTGCAGCAACCACTGCGCAGGCAACGGTGAGTGGTCATATCCGCCATGGCCAGTGATATGAAGTGGAAGACGCTGATCATGAGGTGCTGCGCAGAGAACGAGATCTGCGGTGGCCCGGCGCGGCTCACCCTCCTGACGGCCTCAGGCGTACCCGCACAGGCGTCGTCCGTATCTTCCACCGTTCAGCCGTCTGTGACTACTAACGTCGCCATTCCGGTCTCTGTATCTTCGACGCACGCCTCCTCGGCAGTCACCACGTCTGTGCACTCCGCAAGCGCGACGAGTTCTAGCGCCCACGCCTCCTCTCCTTCGAGCACAGGCCTCCCGCTCGGATGGGCTGGCATCGGGTGCGTGTCCGACAGCTCCGCCCGCGCGTTGACTGGGTTCAGCGTCGCCAACGACCAGATGACGGTTGCATCGTGTCTCTCCACCTGCGCGTCCAAAGGCTTCTCCATTGCTGGTGTTGAGTACGGTCGCGAGTGCTACTGTGAGTGCCCCGCACGCCTGGCTCCCGATATTCGCATGCTGACCGAAGATGTACAGGCGGCAACTCGTTCTCCAACAGCCAGGGCAAGTCTCTCGCTGCGCCCACCTGCAACATCGCCTGCGCAGGCGACAAGACGAGCACCTGCGGTGGCGGCTGGGCGCTGAACGCGTTCAAGTTCAACCAGGTCAACGTTGCCCTCCCCTCCGTCTCCGCCCCCGCCTCCTCCTCCGCCTCCGCCGCCAAGCCCAGCGCCTCCGTCTCCACCCCCTCCAACTCGACCGCGAGCCTCCCGTCGGGCTGGACCGCCATCGGCTGCCGCAAGGACAACGTCAAGGGCCGCGCGCTCAACGTCGACGCGTTCACGAGCGTGTCGACCATGACCGTCGAGTCGTGCGTCGCCCACTGCGACAGCCTCGGGCACACCCTCGCCGGGCTCGAATACGCGCGCGAGTGCTACTGCGGCGCCGCGTTCACCAACGGCGGCGGCGCCGTCCTCGCCGACTCCGTGTGCAACATGGCGTGCACGGGCGACAGCGGCTCCGTCTGCGGTGGCGCGGACGCGCTCACCGTGTTCCAGAAGGGCGCGTCCGCGGGCGCGCGCCGTAGCCACAAGGCGCGCCACTTCGGCCGCGCGCACCAGCACTCGGATCTGTTCTGATCTGAATTTGAGTGTTGGGTTTGTGCGTCTCTCGCGGGCGCCGTGGACGGCGGCTCGCGTTTTTGGTGTCCCTGATTCGATTCGGGCGCGGGGAGCGAGCCTCCCGCCGTGCGCTCTTGCTATGTCTCTTCCTCGCTCTCTGCATATCTCGTCTATGTCTCTGCTCTCGCTCAACGTCTCCATCTATATCTCTCTCTTCATACTCCCTTCCTTGTTCATATCTCGTGCTCCCCATGCAGCGGGATGCCTTCTCTCCCCTCCCTTTTGACGGGCAGGGGCGAGCGGCCTGGGTCCGGGTTTGCCAGAGGGCGGTGGTGCGCGCGCGCGACTTTACTGGATAAACGACACGATACACACACTCACACGTCCTTCTCCCACAACTCCCTCCCCCCACGCCGCTCTGCGGTGCGCATTGAGCTGCGCTTGGCGACGTATATCATGTTACTCGATACGCACGTACATACGCATAGTCGTACGCAATACGGTCGGTCGTCTGGTAAAATCAAGTATCCTGCGTTGTACATATCAGCACTCCTGGCCACACAAATAAGTTGCGGCGTGCTTCCAATGACAGGTAAGAGTACTGTCAGTTCCAACTCCGACGCCGGTGGGTCCAGGGCTCAAATACGCCGATGCATATATCCACTCTTCCTTGCCACCACTACTTCCACAACCATCTGCAAAATGCTCTTCTCTAACGACTCCTCACGTCCCTTCATCGCCACGCCCTGCAAAGAAATGGGTGTCGAAGCGCTGGAGTCCTTGGCCAAGCAGATCCTAGCTGAGTGTATGACGCTTAGGCTATGCAGCCCTCGTGTGCGGTCTGAAAAGAGCTAGGAGAAGTGAGCATACTTCATCTGCGTCTGACTGCGCATGCCTGTTCTGATTATTAACTCGTAACACAGGTACATGAGCGCGGTGAGCCCCCAGCGATGCATTCAGCATGTCGCCGTCTAATAGGGAGCATGACTACGTCTCTACAGCATCGAAGCGTCCGGAGCGCGTTACACAAGGGGTTCGCCGTTGTCGGAGGACTCGCCAACGCATCGGTGCCTATCAATCGCATGCCTCCCGAGATCGTGACGCATATATTTCATCTTTCTCCCTCAAGAAGCTCTGGTGCCATCAAGGGACGGGCTGATACGCCGTTCGGCATAATTTCCGTAGAAGACCTGCACCGACTCCCAAAGGTGTGCCGGTATTGGCGCGAGCTAGCCCTCGCGACTCCATCCCTGTGGACCACCGTCTTCCAAGAATCAGAGAACCCGAACCTACGACATAGCATATACCTCCCAAAAGACCCGACTCTTAAATTGACTGTCGACGTCAACGGTTTCTTCCATAGGATCTCTCCGAAGACCAGGGATCTGCTACTGAAAAACGCATCACGGATGCGGACACTGGTGCTTCGTTGCGGTGCTGGTCTGGATGCACCTCGGGAGTTCCTGGAATCATTCGACGCTAGCGAACTCGAACACTGCTACATCCTGTGGTTGAACCTACATGTCCGGGCGGACCCGTCGATGGCCCGTTTCCTTCCCTTCTTCTCTGGTGGCGGTGCTAGGCTGCGAACGCTCTGTCTCCACTTGGTCCTGGCTCTTCCTACGAACGAGTTCTCTGCGCTATCCCTCCTGGTGCTAGCAATGAATGGTAGTAGAATGGCGCCGCCCCATTGGGACGCATGGGACCTCCTTCTGTTCTTCCCCCGCTGCCCCAGTCTCGAGGAGGTATATGTCACCGACGTCTATCTCCCTAGACATCGAGCGGAAGGTTTCTCGGGTGTGCTTGAGGGCTTTTCTCCCGTCTCCCTCCCGCGCTCGCGCTACTTCGCCTTCACTTACTCCCCAAATGAAGAGTATCCCGCAGACTCGGCTCCTGTGTGCCTTCTGTCACATCTTGCCATTCCGTCCTTCTGCCACCTCTACTTCAAGATCCTTTGCGAAGGTAAACAGCTTCGTACAAACAAGGCGATCCTGGACAGTTTTCTTCGCCACGTCCCCTATAAAGAACGGACTTCCCGGATTTCGATTTCGTTCCCTTCTGCCCTTTCCACCGTGCTACAACTCGTCTTTAAGGAGGGGTCCCTGAGGCTCGACTTCTATGGCGACATGGTCCGCAGTGACATGGCTGGCGACTCAGGCTACGACATAGACTTGCCAGTGCGGATCTTCTTGCGCGCCTACCCTAATCTCTTCCTTGGAACCAAGGAACTCCAAGTACACTACGCGGATGATCATCTTATGGGCGCACTGGACTCGTCCTATTTCACCACCGTCGTGCCTAACGTCGAAGCTATCGCCCTCGTTCCCAGCATCGCCAGCTTCGCGCATGTGGCTAGTTCCAAAGCCGAGCTGGCCCTCTTCGAGGCGGATTCCGACACAATGAGCACATTTGAAACGTCTCTTGACTCTGACAAAGTCGACCTACCCCGCCCTAGACACGATATGGTTCTCGCTGGAGGACGCCGAAGATGTCGCGCAGCTCCAAGATGTGCTCTCAAGGCGTGCGGCGCAAGGCTGCCGCATCCGCCGCCTGATCCTCTACGTTCGCGATGACGATCCCTACGCAGGTCCGGACGATATAGAACAGATCGATCCCTTGGATGTCACCCCCTGCAGGCACTCGTGGAGGTCATCCTCATGCCAAATCGGCGCGAGTGGCTCGCGAGCTTGGCGAATGGGCCTTCCCCCCCTAGTACTACCCGTAGAGACTGGCCTTCGTGGGATCTGTGAGCTGGGGATCTTATGAACATGCATGGCCACTTAGGAGAGGGACTGGAGCCGCACGCCGCACTTACAAGGCGGCCCAGTGTGCATCACTCGGGCTTCTTGAAACCCGCTGGGGTGCCGAGGACGATTGTCGGTTTGTTTGGCTTGTACATGGGGCCTCCGACCACGTCTTTCTCTGTCTCTTCTTTGTTGTCGTGTACGTACTTATGCATACAGTAGTTGTAACTTGAACTAAATCGATGCTTGGTGGCACGTGCACGGTTCCCACGACAGATATCGAATCTCAGCGCTTATGAGTTGGGTCCCGGTCCGCGTGGCCTTGCACCCTACCACCACCACCTCCATAACTGTTCACAATATGTTCTTCTTTGAAAGTTCTCCGCGTCCCTTCGCTACCACGCCATGCAAAGAAATGAGCATTGACGCCCTGGAGTTGGTGGCCAAGCAGATCCTAATCGAGTGTGCAATGCTCAGGTTGTGCAGCCCCCAAATGCGATCAGAGAAGAGCACGGAGCAGTGAGTAATCCGTACCTTGCGCTCCCCAGAGCTGGCTGTAACTCCATACGCGTACCGTAGATATTCGGACCTGGTGAGAAGCAAGCATACCGTCGGAACGCGGCATTGTCTGACAGGTAACATGACTGCGTTTCCTGCAGCTGCAAACGCTCCAGAGCGCTCTCCATAAGGGTATTGCCATCGTAGGAGGACTCATGAATGCGACGTCTCCCATCAACCGCACCCCTCTTGAGATTTTGATTTATGTCTTCAATCTCTTGCCTGCACGAACCTTTGACTCCTTCAATGGCTCCGCAGTAACGCCGTTTGTGCACACTCACGTGGCAGATCTTCATCTGCTGCCAAAGGTATGTAGGTACTGGCGTGAGCTAGCACTCGCAACCCCCTCTTTGTGGACCACCGTCTCCACTGCCTTATACGTAAAGGATGGATCAATAAGGTCTAGCCTACGGCACAGTATATACCTTCCTAACGACACCTCTCTCAAACTGGACGTTCACATAGATCACTACAACATCGAGGGCCTCCAAGGAACGCAGAACTTGTTACTGAAGCATGCTACACGAATAAGGACACTCCAACTTGTCCGTTGTCGGGGGACTGGCGTAATCCCCAAGTTTCTCGACTCGTTCGACCCGAGCGAACTTGAGCATTGCTGCATTGACTGGTCGGAGACGCATTCTGCTCATGCACCGCCATCGAAGGCACGATTCCTACCATTATTTGCCGGGACTGCCTCCAGGTTGCGATCCCTTTGCCTCAAAGAGATCCCGGTCCTCCCTGCGAATAAATTCCCCGTGCTATCCTTTTTCGCGATAACGTTGGATGTCGCCGGTGCTTGGGCGCCGCCTCATTGGGATGCATGGGACCTCCTCAGCTTTCTTGCTGGTTGTCCGAGACTAGAGGAGATATACGTTCTCGATGTCTATCTCGCCACCCATCGAACTCAGGTCTCCAATGCCACGCTCAGGAGCGGTACCAGATGCATTTCTCTTCCTCGCTTGCGGTACTTCGGCCTCGCCTATGCGCTAAGGGATGATCACACCGTAGACCTCGCCCTTGAATGTCTTCTCACGCATCTCGCCATCCCATCCTACTGTCACCTCTACATCGACGTGCGGGACCAACGGGGGCGGCTCTACACCAACAAGGTCATCCTAGACAACGTTCTTCGTCACATTCCCTCCAAAACTCGTCCTTCCCAAATATTGATCTCTGTGGTAGAACGCGATCGCACTGCGCTACAACTCGTCTTCCCACAAGGATCGATCAGGCTCCACTTCAGTGGCCAACGGTCCTACCATGAAGACACGGGCGAATTCGAGTTGGACCTGAGAAATTTCTTGCGCGCATACCCTCACCTCTTTCTTGACACTGAAGAACCGCGATTCCAGTACACGTCTGACGGAGTCACCACGGAATTGCTGGACTCGTTCCTGTTCACCGTCGTCCTTAATGCCAGAGCCATTGCTATCGTTCCCGACATCACCTGGTCTCCACGTGCCCCAGGTTCTGCAGCAGGGTTGCGAATCTTCTCGCTGTCCTCTGACTCGGAGTGGGACTCTGAAACGTCCGGTCCACTCCCATTTCCCGCCTTAGATACCCTCTGGATGTCGCTTGGGACCGTAGAAGAGGAGTCGGAGCTTGAAGCCGTGCTCTCTGCTCGTGCATTGCAGGGTCGGCGTGTTCGCCGCCTGGTCCTTCATATCCGTCACGACGACGTTGTGGTCGACCAAAGCAACCCAGCTGAGCAGATCCACCGCCCGGATGTCGCCGCGCTGCGAACGCTTGCGGAGGAGGTAATCGTGATGTCATGTGGGGTTGCGTGGATGGCGAGCCTAGAGAAGGGACCGTGCCTACCTAATGCTGTCCAGGGAGACTGGCCTTCGTGGGCCCTGTGAATTGTGAAGCTGATGCGTCGATGCCCGTCTTGCCGTTTCAGCGTAGAGTCTGACATTGCGCCTGGAGCGCAATGCGTGATGCGCTGCGATACCATGCATCATATAGCCGACCACCCCTGTACCATACATAGATCCGCCACAAGGCGTCGCCTTTCTAACGTCAATGATTTGATCAGTTATTATCACCCACTGCCGCGAAACTCAGAGGGTGCGTCTGGTAGAACGACCAGGCCGATATCCGCGGTTGCCCCCCTCACAGTTGCTGACGTGTCCCGCATCCAGGACGCTAACACAAAGCGTGTCGGGCTGGGGATTGACCAGCCCGGCCCATACGAAGAGTCTGAGACGGTGAGCGCGACCGGTCGGCGGGAGGCATATGCGCTGAAAGCTCGCCTCCGAGAACAGGGCATTGCTTGCGCGCCGACGCTCCTCGACGGTCTCCAGGAACGGGAGGTTGCAAAAGGATGGGAACGTGGACGGCATCAACAGCCTCGAGGTATATGCAGGCTACCCCGCAACCAACGCAAAGACGAGCGGCCAATCCCAAATCCCTTTTCCTGAGTCGAGAGCGGGAGTGAGATGCCGATATGACGCGTAAGAGGAGTCGAATGCAGGCTAGGAAAGGGTTCACGTAGAGACGGATGTACAGATTTGATCGTGGATCACTCGTCTATCTCAGCTTCTCCAAGCCCAGTCCGTCGTATGCCAGTCGGGCAGCTCCGACGCGCCACGCACAGACGTCCGCTGCAGTCTGAGCTCAATTCACGAGCAACTTTGTGTCATCGGATAGTAATATGGCGGTAACATACCGGAAACTCCGGCGGTCGGACGTCCGCAACGTCATTCGGCTTGAAAGTCTACTCCGATACTGTACTCACCCTCTTGCTTCGGATGTTCTCCCTCGTCAATGATTTCCACTCTAGCCTTCACCGATCACCGCTTGCCCTCGCACACGTTCCAATCTCTCCTGGCGTCGTTCCGCAGCTCTTGTATGTCGCGCACACCCGTTGGGCCCCGTATCAGTTCCGCGACGGTCGTCGTGACCGCGTACATATCCTAGGTGTGCTGAGACAGGCTTTGGGGAAGCATCGGCTGTGTCGGGAGCATTACAAGATGCGGTCGGTGGTTTTGTCAATGTCGCGCGTGAGGCGGGGGATGACCTCCTGGTCCTGCTTCAGTAATTGAACCTGTTCTGGAGTTGGTCAGACACAGATGCAGGTGGAAACGGGTAGATGTGAGATACAGGGAGAAACGATGGGAACGCACCTTGATAGCACAAGTCCCGGATCCGAGGCCAAGACGTCAAAGCGCTCGCTGAGCGGGTAGAAGGGCCATTTTTTACTTGGAGCTACTTGACACGGGCCTTGAGCGAGTCGCAGTAGTTGGTCTCAAAGCAGTCCATGTGGTATAGTCTGAATAGACGAGTGCAGGACAGCCAACGGAAATCGGCAATCTCACGGGTGACGGCGTCCAAGTCGCGTAGTGCAGTGTCACGCGTGACGAATCCGTGCCCAAGTCTGCAAGGGACGACGAGCTCGAGTCGTCCGCACTCTCTTCATCCGATATCTGCGAGCCCAGCCTTCCGACGACGCTCAAATCTCACCAGCCGTACCCTTTGCATTCAGAATTCAGATGTGATACACTGATCTGCCACCAGACTAGCCAGGGTCCCTCATAAAGCGGCGTCATCCGTGTCACATCCCTCAATCCGACAGGGCGACTTGGAGCGTCCGGGAATGCCTTGTTCTCCAGCCACCTGTACTCGAGCTGATGTTTAATAGACGCCTTGATGGCCGCCAAATAGATTGATCCTCAATGGTGCATTCTCTGCGCAATCGCTACCATGGTACGCGACAGTGCTACTTCAAGGCAGTACATTTGCCTTCGTATACTAAGCCGACTGGCTCAGTTGCGGATGTTCTCCATCTGTGTTTCTCAGGCAATGCACGAGATATTCACGTCCTTCCGAAAGCATCTCGGATGTGAGATTGTACGCGCTGCTCATCTGAGCCATCGAAACGTTAAGTAGCCGTTGAGTCGACGTTCAGGGCTCTGCCGTGATGTTAGTCAGTTGCCTCAGTTGCCCGATCTGTGAGTTCTATCACTTAATCGCACCTGCATACATCTACTTTTGCAGTGGATGGCTCGACAGATATATCGAATGCTTAACAGCATGCATCCTCGGTGCCGGTGCCTAGACTACAGTTACATGCTGGCGATAATTCACTTGACGATGAATCTGATCTCAAAATGGGGTATAGTTCTATCTTCCGGCTACGAACACGGCTCTCTTGGCGGGTTCAAGGAGGTCAATAAATAGTCTTCACCCTATGGTCCCAAAGACAACCATACCTTCGTTTCGACACCTGTCTCATACCTCTGGACTTTGCGTGCTACTTCATTGAAGCATCAGTATGGCCGACAACTCAGATGTTCAGGTGGCAACTGAGGTATTGTAAGTAAAGCTCAGACTGATAGCCCTTACACGTGATCTAACCTCTGAGCTTGCGTTTAGCTTCGGCAATTGCTGGACATCAGCCACCACTGGTTCGTTCCAATCGACACCATGTATATTCTCTCAAGCTTATTGCGTCTCGTTTATAGCGCTACTGGCTTACGACTTCGTCCTCACGTTCCCCAGCGAGGTGACGCTCTTCTGGAAGGGAGGCCACCTTTCCGGAGCAACCCTTCTGTGTCTGCTAAATAGATACATCACTCTCGCGTCGCAAGTCATTAATAATGTCTCGCTCCCATCGTCTGTAGAGGTATATCACTCTGTTTCTAGCATGGTTAAGTCAATGCTTGACATCATCACAGAGGTATACACTGATTCTCAACAACTCCGGACGTTGCGTTCTGACCCATACGCAGTGCATTCTCCGTATACATTGCTGCGGCTGTGTTGCAGGCGTTGCAGTATCTCCCATGGGCTGGTACGGGACCTAAACTTTGTATGGAATCGACAACTCTGACAGCCACTTTTTCGTACAGCATTCTCAGCACTCAGAGCATATGCTCTTTGTCCTGACCCGTATCGATGGGTCATTTCCGCAGGTATTTTCGCTCTGTCTTCGGTGCCCATTGTCACCGATTTGTGGGTGCGTACTCCGGATTTGTCATGGTCGAGCAGCATAGAACAGTATATTCCCCCGCACAGGTAAACCTGCACGGATTGTCAGTTGTGAACGATCCGGTCCTGGGCATCATAGCCATCACTCCGGTATCAGCGAGCACGATCACGAAGTGAGAGAACTTCCTACACTGCTCCGTGACATGCTGTCTGACACCGTGGATGGTAGATGTTGGTACATGTTTCATGACATCGTGTTTCGGGCACGTTCTGAGACGAGACGTGACAGTGGAGGTGGTGACGCGATCTTCCTTGATTGCTTCTGATTTGGCGGTTCTATGTGTTACCTGGTTCCGAACATATGAAACTGCAAAGCTATCTCTCCGTCGCCTCGGCAAGCGAAGCTTGGCATGCATTCTTCTCCTCGATGGTATGTACTAGGGGTCGTCGCTCGAGCCCGATGAGTGTAGTACTGAAGCACCCTATGATGTTATGACAGGGACAATCTATTTCCTGTGGGTGCTCGCAATCGTGTCTAGGTCAACCGATGCTCACATGTTGAATCAACAGAGCGCTGCTCGTGTTGAGCATTCTCCAAATGACGTTCACCCTGACGGGGGTAAGCTGTACCTGGGGTATGGAATGTATACATCTGACGGTTATCAGATTGGGAATAAAGTGGATTCACCAACGAGCGTGATTGCACTTCTGGAGGAACCGTACGTCTACGCTGCACCCTACCCTACCATGCGGATCTTACTGAACTGTTTTGTTGTGTTCAGCTTGACCTCCATCCTCATATCGAGGTTCCTCATCGACCTGCAGAAGGCCCAGTGCAAGCTGGCGGGCTCTTCTCGGTCAGTCTCACTCGGGGAAGTTGCATTCCAATCGCAGACCTCGGGGAGCACCGGTTGCTTCGTTGGATCCTTGGGAGCCCAGCTCTCCTGTCATGAAGTCGACGAAGAAGAGGACGAGATGGAACATAGGCTGTAGGCGTCGGGCGGTTGGTCGACTCGTCAGCGGTGGTGGTGCATTCGCAATTTGACTCACAATCCGTACATTTCCTTTCGCTGAAAAACGGAAGTCAACAAAGCCTACGTATCTTGTCTTGTAGAATTGTTGCAGAACTATGTTGACAGACAAGGCAAATCACATTCGAGGCAGGTCGCACGCATTGACGAGGCGCATCGCCACGTGTTGAACGCGCCGAACCTCCTACTTACCGGTCGACAGAACCCTGAGCTCATTTTAGATTCGTCCACAATGGAACATGTGTGTTGCTCGCCTAATAGGCGTCGACAACTCGATCCGACGTGATAGCCTGTGCACAATGAGGCAGCCATAACGCTGGGTTGCGAACCGCCTTCATCCCCTTGCCCCATCCTTTCTGCTGCCAACCCACTCTCCCATAACAAGATGAGTCGACGCGACACGAATCCAAGGACAGCTCCGTCCGAGTCTTCGCTTGTGGCCATCAGGTGGAAGTCACGCACGGCCTGCTTTGATCGGACTAGTGTCCAAGTGAGTCCCATAGCTTGAAAGAGAGAACCAACCAGGACCGAGTCACATCTACAGACGATCGTCGAGAAAGCATGCGGCCACTGCGGCCTGGGGTCCGTCCAACAAGACTTTGTATTGACGGGAAACGTCGATTGCCTGAAATGCGAGGTCACCGACGACATGCTCAAGCGTCTCCCCCGCGGAGCTATCCTTACCCTGACCAAGATCACGCAAGAATGCGATTCGGGAGATGAAGATGAAGGTGAACATCCGGACTGCTCCTCCTCAAGTATGTAAGTGTGATCCGATTATAGCCAACTACTGCGAGTCTCACTCCATATCCTCAGGGAAGCCAATCGTGGGCACAATGTAAGGGTCAGCCTGTCCACAGACCTTCCAAGCCTCTGAAACCTCATGCTCTAGAGAGGCAATCATGCGAACAGTGACGCTTTCAAGATTTTCGCTAGGACGTAGGCAGATGATTTCCTTGCTCCCTGAGCTATCTCTGGGTTAACATTGGTTCTACGAAGACTTACTGGCAAGGTTCTCACCTTTGATGGGGTCCGATCCGAAACTACCGTGTCAGAGATCAAGAACAAGATCCGAGACAAGGAAGGCTATCCAGTAGACAAGCAGCGCTTGATTTTCGCTGGAGAGACACTGGAATCAAGCCGCGTGCTCTCTGATTATAACATCCAGCGTGAGAGCACGATTCGCCTACTCTACAGCCACAAGGGCGGCAAGCCAGTCATATATCTCTTCTCTCCTCATGCGATATCCGACGCAACCGTGTCGATCAGCCTCGCTCCACAATGGTCATTCTCCCACATCTACCCGCAGGTAGACGTGAAGGCTCTGGCTGCTGGCAAGGAGCAGGCCTCCTGGTCCATCTCAGCCAATCCTAATGGCTCGCTTGTAGAGAGGCACTGGCCTAGAGCTCTCGTACCTCTTCTGGGAAGCTACTTCGAACACCGCCATACCGCCGAGTCCTCCTCCGAGCCCTCGTCTTGATGTACCCCCGCCTCTCGTCGAGCATTTCGATCCAGCCTACCCGTCCCTTACACCTGAGTCGCCCACCGCCATCATTATTCCTTTCAGCCAGCTGCTCATGTACCTCGATCATACCCTCAAAGCCCTCAGCCTCCACACCTCCGCTCGCAACGACTTCATCACATATTGGCTCCCTGCGCTCTCCAAGAAGCCGTACGTTGCCCTCCGCTTCCTTCCCCAAGACGCGTACGAGCGCGCCGCCGAACTTGAGGTGACGCCGTTGCCGGATGTCATTACGCGTGTCTTTATGCTGTTCGGAGGAGTGGAGGCGGAGGAAGTGGAATTGTGGTCCGAGGCGATGGAACAAGTCGGTAAGGTGGATTGGGTGGACATCGTGGGCGTGAAGTCGGGAGCTTGGGACGAGCGCGTATTCAGAGTTCTGGAATGGGGCGCTATGGAGGTGTTGTGATGCGAGGTGTGTTGACAAGTAGCATTGTAGGTGAAGTCTCTGGGATCGATGGCAATTGAGACGAGCGCGACAGAAGGAATGGACGTGAAGGATGTGATTAAAGGCCTTGGATGGGTGTTCAAGAAGGCAACCCCTTCGTTAGAGGAGAGGGCCGGCGACTACATAAGTAGATACAGTGCAATCGCAAGGCCCGGGCCAATAGCCTGGGCCTCGGGTGGCTCGACGTTCCGTAGCTGAACGGCGCTGAGGCGTCTTAGGTCGGGTGGTTGTGCCAGCCGCCGAAAGAGGGCGTTGTCCATTTCTCGCGCTGCGAACACCTGGGGTGGACGAAAAGGTGACATTAGGCAGAGCTCGAATGAACGGAACGGATGATCCGTGAGAAAGTGTTGTAGCCCAGGACAGGCGGACCCGAAGTCTCTTTGTGTAAACCGTGAGATTGTCATATAGAAGCGGGGAAGAGGCGAAGCAACGTATAGAGGCTACCACAGGAGGCAGCCTATAACTCGTGGAGACCGCCTTACAGGTTACAGCGAGACGCGCTGAGGTCATCCTCTTGACCCGGTCCGTGACGTCAAGAACCAAGTCTTCATCGTCCTCGCCTTTGATTTGGTTCTTGTTGGGGTGTGGAGGACCCCAGTACGCGTCCTCACGTCTCATGTCGATATCAGGCGGCTGCTGAACCGATGAGAAGCAGCACATGATTTTGAGGAAGATGTCGTGTTTCAGGAGTGCAGGATGGGATGACATGACGGAAAACGAGAAAGATCATGGCCTGAGAGTCGTTTGGAGAGTGTAATCAGTACGGCTACGAGAAACAGTATGCAAATGACGCGTGCCGCGTTGATTCTTTGATGATAGTCGATGCGGTACAGTACCTCGTTTTCAATTGCACTCAGGAGTCACTTTGGACATTGCGGCAAGATCTGCCCGGCGTTAACGAGAACCCAGGATGAATTGGGAGGGAGATCAACGTTGATTGAGTAAGACGGAGGCCATTTTCTGATCACTCGTCCTGCAACTACCACTGAATCATCACTAGCCGTCTGGGCCGTGACCCCGAAAGGATGATCCTACAGTGTCACGAAACAATCAGTTGGAGAAATGTTCGGATACTGAAGTGGGAAACCCACGCTATGAATGATAAAAAGTGCCACAGGTTCCGTCTTGCTTCACTTCCGCGCACATATAGCCATCGCACCAAGCGGCTTGAAAAGCAATATGTCTGTCTTAGACGAGAGCTAAGGTGGAAGCTGGTCGAACTTGACTGTGTATGACTGAAGACGACACGAACATGTCAGGCGCATACTTCCTAGCCCGCTCAAATTTGCAGACTCTGGTACAAAAACACTGTGAGGTACGCCCCGGTCATCTAACACCATGAAAGTAACGAGCTGATGATATGCAACATCGTGTGGGGTTCTCACAGACAAGCAGTACACGTCGCCATTTAGTCGCATGTATGAGATTGCAGGGGTAATGGTGTGAGGGAGAGCAAAAGACATGACTATACGTAAAACCATACAACATGCGACCGCATAGGATAAGTGGATGCACCCCTGACAGGCGTTTTACGCAGCACCGGCAGCCCTGATGTTACACCACGGTCAATCCGACGAACTGACAATGATAGAGACGAGGAGAGACATACTTCTTGTGCGACGCCTTGACGGCTGCAGCCTTCTCCTTCTTCTCGGCAATCCGCTTGGCAAGGAGAACGTCGTACTCGGCCTTCTGCTCCTTCTGGCGCTCGATCCGGCGGCGCTTGAGGGAGCGGAGGTGACGGCGGCGCTGGAGACGGATGGGGGTGACCAGACGTTGGATTTTGGGCCTACAGAAGTACTGCTCAATCTCGGGCCAGTGCAAGCCGCTAACGATGATACGTACGCCTTGGTGTAGGGCTTGGCATTCTCCTTCTTCTGGCTCGTAACCTCCCGTCGGACAACGTACTTGCGGACATCATCCTCCTTGGACAGGTTGAAGAACTTGCGGATCTTAGTCGCACGCTTGGGACCAAGGCGCTTAGGGAGGACGTTGTCCGTCAGGCCAGGGATGTCGTTCTCGCCCTGCTTGACGATGACGAGGGAGAGAACGGCGATGTCGGGGCCGACGATGCATCCACGGACGGATTTGCGCTTGCGCTCACCAGTGCGGCGGGGGCGGTAGCACGAGTGGCCGTCCGAGAGAAGGAGGCGGACACGGTAGGGAAGGAGGACACCCTGCTTCATGGGGAAACCCTGCTTGTCGTTGCCACCAGTGATGCGGAAGACGTAACCCTTCCACTCGTCGCCGAGGGAGTCGCCAGGGACCTCCTGCGAGATCCGCTTGTCGTAGAAGACACGGCTTCATCATTGCAAGGACGGTGAATCGGCACGGGATTAACGATTAGATGCGAATATATGGACAGGAAATGGACGGTGTACGCACTATTTCTTCTCGTCATCGTAGTCGATCGTCTTTTGTTCCCCGGTTGCGGGGTCTGTTGCGGACACCCTGGTCAGAACACGAATCCCCCAGGTCCCGTCCCAACATGTACAAACTCACTGGCGATGTTGAGCTTCATGCTAGCAAGGTAGCGAGGTTAGTCTCCAGATAAAGCGGCGAGCTGCAGAAGAGTAACAGACCTTCAGGCCTTGATGGAGGGCGTATCTCGACGACGGCGACAGCGGCGACGAGATAGTCTTGAGCTCGAGTCGGATGGGCTGAGTGCTGGGCAATCGCGGCACAAACACCCTCAGCGCCTAGGCAGAGTGGCGGAACAAGGTTTGGTACTGTACAGCTCCTTCAGCCACCCAGCAGGCGCTCACGTGTCCGGTGCCCCACTGCAAACTCGACACTTCCCGCGCCCGACGGCACGCTCGACGACGACAAGACCTCAAGACTCGCTCCCCTCACCTAAAACTGTGCGTGTATTGCTGAGGTGCTGCTCGTGCGCTGGAGTGCTGATGGTATTCCCCCAGAGTCACCATGGGTCGCATGCACGCTCCCGGCAAGGGCATCTCGTCCTCTGCCCTCCCCTACCGCCGCGCTCCCCCCTCGTGGCTCAAGACCACGCCCGAGGACGTTGTCGAGCACATCACCAAGCTTGCCCGCAAGGGTCTTACACCCTCCCAAATTGGTGTCACCCTCCGTGATTCGCACGGTATCCCTCAGGTTCGCTTCGTGACCGGTAACAAGATCCTTCGTATCCTCAAGTCGAACGGTGAGTCTTCCGCCCATATCTGCGCTACCCGGATGCGGTCAGGCGTTTCGTATTTTGGATCGGATGGTCAGACGGCGGTCATGGGACTGAAACTTATTCCGGGAAATGCAGGTCTTGCGCCCCAGATCCCCGAGGATCTCTGGCACCTCGTCAAAAAGGCGGTCGCTGTTCGCAAGCACCTCGAGGTTAACCGGAAGGACAAGGACTCCAAGTTCCGTCTCATCCTCATCGAGTCCCGTATTCACCGTCTTGCGCGGTACTACAAGACCAAGCAGCAGATCCCCCCAACGTTCAAGTACGACTCTGCCACCGCCTCCACCCTCATTGCATGAGCTTCCAAGTGGTCGTTATATGTTGAACGTGGTTGTGGATGTGATGACGGAGAGGGGAGGGGCCCGTCGCAACACGATTACACGGCGACGGGTGGGCTGTCGAGACTATGTTATCGCTTGTACGCTTTCCACATGACACACCCAATGCAGAACCTAGGGATATGCATAAAATCTTCATCATGCCATCTGTTGTCCCGTCCCAACTCATGAGACCGTGAATACTCTTCGCTTCGACAAGAGCAAGGTGCCTCTGACAGGATGGTCTACTCATCGTTCTTGTACGTCTCGGATGATCAACGGAATAATTGACTCGCAACTGCCCTGTGCAGTGTATGGAAATGCCTCTAATCATTTGATCACCCCAATGCTACTAGGGTGTATATTGCACAAGCTGTGCGTGGAGTCACAGGGGGCGGACATGACATGCAGCGCCTAAGTCCTCACATATAACGATAAGTCAGGTCCGTGTCCTCTTTCTCTTAATCTACCCGGATACCCATCTCACATACTTGTGATCTGTTGGACATTCTCCAGCGCCGCTGCCACTCAATCGCACTCAGTGTCCTCAAGTCAGCTCCACAAGCGTCATATCCAGCTGAGCACATAGTTTGTACACACTTCTTGTACACTTTGGAGATGCGCATACAAATTGAGAATCTGCTACAGGTATCTTCATCACCCGTTACACCCTCAAATGCGGCTGCTGAACACCCGTACGGGGCGGTTTGAGGAGAAGAATCCGGAGCAGATCACATACGCTATTCTATCGCACACCTGGGACGAGATTGAACAGACTTTCCAAGACGTGCGAGAGATCCAGCGATCGTACGACGAACATGGGCGACTTCTCTACTGGAGACTCCTACCTGAGGTCACGCAGAGAGCACTCTACGCAGGCCGACACGTCGGGCGGGCTTTCATTCGCTTGACTTCTGTCGCCAGTGCTTACGAAGTCCTCCGTATCGGCATCCGACGATATATGAGGTCCCCCAGACAAGAATCACCATCACTTCGAGTCCGCCCTTCGTCCGATGGTCGTTTTTCGGGTATCTCCCGCAGGACCATTCCCCTCCTTACGTCGATATGGCACGACCCTCGACTGTCCTCGAAAGTGAAGGAAGCATGTGCGGTTGCACGAGAAAACGGCTACGACTACCTCTGGATTGACTCGTGCTGCATCGACAAGACGAGCAGCTCGGAGTTGTCAGAGGCAATCAACTCAATGTATGATTGGTACCGCAGCGTGGCAGTGTGCTACGCGTACCTCTCGGACGTGCCCTTTGGAGAAAAACATCGCGCCGGGTCCTCGCGCTTTCGATCCAGCCGATGGTTCAAACGGGGATGGACACTGCAGGAGCGCATAGCGCCGTCTGCGCTCACCTTCCTCTCAGAAGATTGGAAGGTCATCGGAACAAAAGGCTCCCTTTGCGATCTCGTCGAAGACGTGACGTCGATCCCGGAGGAAGCTCTCTTGCACACGAAGCCGCTCGATCTGTTCAGCGTCGCTGAGCGGTTCTCTTGGGCCGCCACGCGGCAGACGACGACGACGGAGGACAGAGCATACTCGCTGCTCGGTATCTTCGCCATTCACATGCCCACACTCTATGGGGAAGGTGAACTGGCGTTCCAGCGGTTGCAAGAGGAGGTCGTGCAGCGCATTCCCGACCAGAGCCTGTTTGCGTGGTCGCACGTCTACCTGAGCATTAAACCCGGCTAGGATCTGATCAAGCCTGCGTCACTCCGGAACGCATTGCGAATTTCCCACGTCGCGACTGAAGCCCCCCTTGGGGCGTCGGATGAACGATATCTCTTCGCTCCTTCCCTCAGCAAGTTCACAGCCGGGGGGAAATTGAGACATCTTTCTCACGACGCTGTTTTCCGCGTTCTCCAGCTACCCTTCCTCCCTGCTCCCAAGTACTCCTCCACCGCACACGGCATTCGTACCAAACTACCTCTGGTGCCCCTGTCTCGCTGCCTTCCTCAATTCGCAGCCACGTACCCCAGAGATGCGCCGCAGTCGCAGTGGCATCTGGCTATCCTCGGGTGCGAACATGACGACTACCCCGGCCACCTTCTCGGGCGCGTGTGCTACGTCCCCCCCTCGGGGTCTGGCATCGATTATCTATTCTGCGGCTTTGTGGAGATAGGCCCGCGTCCGACGCGCGGTCCACATGACCCCTCTCTGTTCCCTCTCTCGCCTGCGACACTCAAGCGCTGCCGCAAGCACATCACGCTCAGAACGGTGTACATACCCAAGCCTGCACATGAGCAGGCACACCCTTCTATGTGGTCGCAAGGCTTGGATGCTCGATTCAAGACTCGGCCCCTCGTCAATGCCGCCCTGGTGTTGCTGAGAACTACTCGGGATGCTTTGCGCGCCCAAGGGTACTTAGCCGAACTCAGAGGTCCGGACATGACCCGGGACACCAGCACTCACTGGCTCACCCTTGATCATGCCGATCACTCTATCACCATCGAATATCAGCAGCTCCCACCCGATGACGATGGAGAGGGCGTGGATAGGGTCCGTACCCTCCCCTCGCCATACCCGGACACGACACTGGCTGTCACGGCACAACTGAAGGTTATCCGACCACGTCCTCTACCTGGATTTTCTGCGGAGCTCCGCGCAGAGCCTGCTCCTGTTTACGTGTCTTCTAAGTCACGCTATCACTGGTTGCCGTCGAGGATGGAGAGCGTGAGCTTCCCCTGTACTGCCGCAAAGAGGGTCACCATGCACCTCGGCCTCGACAAATTGCTTGCCCCACCACACTATGCCCTACGCGTCGAGATCAGCACCGAGACACAGGCATATGCTCCCAGATCACCTTGACTCGATACACGATGAAGGATAGTCATCGACGTCTGACAGGCGAGCACGAGATCCGAAGAAGTAGTCACTAGCGTCGGATACCTCGGAAAATGCAGTCATGCTGGAGGGACTACCCTCGGGGACAGGGTATCTGTTCGAAATGGGATGGACTCGGTGCACGGCGTAGGCTAGAGGAATGCATCGGGCCTTAGGAAATATGTTGGCTCGATGTCTGACTAATAAGAAGAATCGTCGAGTAGGCAAACCTTACTCTATTGGATTGGTGGAGCCCTAGCGGGCATCGCTCTTGAGTATTTTGGCAGGGAAGGAAGTCTCGCTCGGTGGAAAGTGCAGGCCATTCACGAGAGCGCAGCTCCAGATAATCAAGCGGAACGATGCAAAAGCATACGAGAGCCAATCCGTACAAAAGAAACATACATTGTTCTTGTCCGAGGCGATAGGTTATAGCAAGTACAATTGATAACATTGATAACATACTAGATAGACAAGGTGTACTCGTACTCGGTGCTGACGCTTTGTGAGATCCAGAGGACGATGGCAGAGAGCATGAGGGCAACGTTTTGGGAGACGTTGGCGTAGCCGTAGTAGGTATACTGCTCTGTGTAGTGATGCAGGATGTACTTGAGCACAAGGACGGTCTGTGAAGTGGGCACAGGGTCAGCATCATTGCGCGCTCTCTCGATCTGAACCGTGTAGGATAAGGGAACATGGCAGTATACGCATCCAAAAAGGTTGTACTGCCGCGCGAAGGCTTCGCAAGATGCACCCACGTGTGTACGGGACGCCCGCAGCATCTTCACTACGTCCTCGTAACTCTCCTTCCAGGACTCGCATTTGATGCTAGTATTGCCAACGAAGAGAACGGCCAGGCAAATTCAGGCGAAGACAAGTAAGACTACTCACCACACTGCCCGCAAGGCCGCCCGCCATGAGCGCAAAGCCAATGAACAAGAACAACCTGGCCCGCCACACCGCACGCGCGTCGCCAAAGTCCTCATGTCCCTGCACGCGATCCTTGTCAATGAGGTTGATGACTATCATGCCAAGAAGGGAGCAGATGCCGGGCAGCCAGTCGACAAAGGTGACGTGAACCGGGGGCGGGATCTGCGGCTCGGTGTACGGAGGGTGTGCGTGTGCGGAGAGGACTGCCGCATCGAGAAACGTCCAGTTGGCCAGCGCAAACTATAATACGCAACAAATCATCCACACGGAGGAAGCAGAGGAGAGAAGGAGGGTCGCGACGTCAGATCGAGTGAGAGACGAAGAGGAGCGCCAGGACGTACGAGGCCGCCGGCGAGATATATTCCAATGGTCCTCCTGTGCTTCCCAAGACTGATCCCGGGGAAGGGGTTGATACAAACCCTACGAGGGTCGTAGTGTGAGCGGGGAAGGGCCATATGTGCGAAGGATGTTGGAGGAGAGGACAGCGTTGTCGGACAAGACGGTGGTGGCTCTGGGGAAACGCTAAGCGCTTCCTCGCGCTGCGCAAACAGCGGCGACGGCGCCTTGTGAGTTCTGTTCTCCCCCGCATCACAGTACTACGACATCCTAGCCTCGAACGTAGAATGAGCTCGAGTTTCGACTGGTGACTTTTATATGCATAGCTCTAGGTCTTCGCCTAGCGTTCTTGCAGTAAATGCTACTTGCCATCAGCAACCGCCATCCCAGTAGGCCTGAACTGTGACCTGCTACGCCTGCTTCTCTAGCACGGTATCTTTTGGAGTGCTCATCGGAAACCATAACATAATTCTCGCATCTGGACGACTGCTTTGAACAATAGATGATGACGACGTGCTTCGCGAACGGGCAAGGATGGCGTCTCGCAAGTTGTTATTTGGAAGACGCGGGACGGATACGGCTGGTAACACTTTCAACAAGTTATGATGATGCATTCCGATGGTGCTTGATACAGGAGCCTCAACCAAGCTAACTACCGAATAGTGTGGCGCGGTCGAAGATTTCTGTATTCGGCACGTAGCGGATCGTGGTCGTAACGACTTAAGTACGCTGGAAGGTTCGTCTACTTGTAATGACCTTCTTAATCGCATAGCGACCAATGTCGCCGACAATCTAAAACATTCTCACAACTTCAGGTACCGTGACGCAGAAGGCAAACTCGCTATAATTCAAGCAGAGGGCCTCGAGAGCGATAAGGAATCCGATGACGCTGTCGCCTGATTTACAGAAGCGATCGCGCACCTGCTAGACTCCTCGCTCATGGTGCCCATTGACACCCGCAATGGGGGGATGGCGTAAAGTGCCTGGTATATTTCAACATGACCATGGACGAGTGTCTCACCGTAATGACCTGCGCCAATGGCGTATCCCGTTGCCTACGGGACTAGCAGGCGCGCAGAGGTACGCTCATCATCTCATATTCAATTAAGACGACTCATGGACTTCATAGGCATTAGACTGGACTATGAAAGTCGATATCTTGTATAACAATGCTCAGTACAGACATCGACCGATCTATGGTGAACTCAGCTTCCTTCTCCAATCTGTTGCCAACGCTGACATGTTACCTCTAGACTGGGAAGTATACCAGCCGCGCCCGCCTGCGCTCGAGTTTCATCGCCAGCGGCTGCTCACACTCCTCACCGCCTTTGAGATTTTCTTGAAGCTCAACAGCACCGGAGCAGCTGCCTACGCCCGCAACACAACCTCGGAAACAACCTGATCCGGAGTCTCCCATGTATGTTATTCATCAGGAAGTCCTTTCAGAGTTAATAGGGAGGCAAGCCATGCAGTTCCGCCATCCTGAACCATTCATCAATTGAAACCATGATGTCACAGATCCTTCTCTGCAAGTGCGCGGATCATGGCAGCAGCTGAAGGTCGCCGTCCACTGGCACTCGCGGATTGCTTCTCGGATGGCCCATGCTTGCTTCCTCTACAAGAGTGAGCAGCACGGCACCTTGGCGCTTGGAGCTCCTCACTATAATCTGCGACAGGCATAATGTACGTCTGTGGTGGGCAACGCTCGGGCACATTCGAGCTTTGCGGAAACGTCTGGTGTCCAGACCTCCCCCGCACGGGTGGTTGGCGCGAGCGCCTCCCTTTTCCTGCCCCTTTCTAAACTACCGGATGGTCGTGCGCGACAGCAAAGCCTACCTCTTCACCGGCACCTCCGCCGTCGACTACTTCGACCTCGAGCGGGAGCACTGGGGCCGTATCTCTAGGCACTATCTCAACGAGCGCTGCGGCGGCGCCCAGTGGCCGTAGACCAAGCAGCTCTCGAACTATACCGCGGGCATCGCCAAGGGCAATCCTTACGTCTTCGGAGGCAAATTCAAGCGCGCGATTGGGTGCAACCTCTTCGCGGCGCTTAACATCGCGAAGAAGACGTGGACTCAGTGGAGCGAGACGACGGACACGGAAGCGCTCCCGGCCCAGTACGACGTGCCGGACCCGAGGAAGCAGCATGCGATGTGGGTGGATGTCAGGCAAGAGAAGATATACCTCATGTACGACATGGCAGATCAACAACAGGCGGCAGAGCTGTTCAGAACGGAGTTCGCATCATCCGAGGGCTTCGCGCGTATGATGACTGTTGGTCTTGGGACATCGCCAAGAGGGAATCGCACCGCGAGCGCGTCTCGGGCAACTTCCCATGCCCACACGCGGAGATGTCCGTCTTCTACGTAAGTCGTCACAGTACACGCTTCGAGTAGGCATCGGAAGTATCCGATCATTACCCTAACCAAACCCTCTTGTAGTACCCTAACGTTAACTCTACCATTATGTTCGGAGGTCACAATCCCGCACTGCCGTACTACTCCTCTTCCACTCCGCGCTTTCGGCATGTCCTCACTCCCAGCTTCCCGACGTACCGCGCACTAGGGTAACTCCTCACCGATCCTGCGGCGGGCAAAATGTTACTCTTTGGGGGCTACACGAACACTGACTGGGTCCCCGCGGGCAAGCACGAGGTGACGCGGAGCTACGTGGACATCTGGCAGCTCGTAGTCGATGTTCCGGGCAGGCTCTATGAGGTGTTGACTGGGAGGACGAGAAGCTAAGCGCACAGCTGGGCCCGTGGCAGGTGTACTACATGTGCAACACGGTGGGAATGCACAAGAAGTGCGGAGGTAAGTCTGTGGCAGTCAATGGCATAGGTGTGTACGTCTAACAATTGTGTTGTTTAGGTTTGTGCACAGGACCCGTGTTCTACTGCACGCCAAGCTGCCAGAAGGAAGGATTGCCCATCCACAAGGAGAAGCATGGTAGAAGACAATGAGGCTGACGCGTGTGCCCTACCCTGCTCTATACAGCTGAACGTGTAGATTGAAGCGCCCTCAGCCGCGCTAACGTTGCGGCCCCAGAGGAGCATCCGGATATGCTACAGCAGAGCTCTCCGTGGTTTACAGGTCGTTGTGACATGATTCGGACGCGCGCAGAAAGGCCGTCAGGCCAACAATTCGAGAGTCCGTACTCCCAGTCTCCGGCGGGTATACGTGCACATCACCGGGCTGTATCGTGCTAAGGGCAACCGCCGCCCTGACATTGGCCTGCAGACTGGTCAAATTTCCAGAAGGTATGATATCTGGTAGCGAACCTGCACTGCGCGTACCCGCGATTGACTCAATGGATTGCGGACTTGTGCGTCGGAGGAACGTGCGTATGGGTTCATTTGATGAGGTGTCCGCTGCCTTATCGTACACGGACTATATTCTATACTTGGTGCTAGTATTTCCTGACGTCTGTATATGTCAGGGCACATGGATATATGGATACACAAGCGTTCCGGATGTTTTCAGTGCTCCGTTATCGGAGCTTGTCTGTCGAGCAGGCTCACGGTGAGCATTGCCTCGGCTGCGGGGCGCTGTGTTGCTCGCGACTTTAATCGGCGTGGAGACCTCGTACGCGATGTCACGCTTCGCCCCTCAGCCCAATACCCCCTCCTGAAAACGTGCGTTGCATGGCATTGTGAGGCAAGGAGTTGACCACTCTAAGACCAGGTGGTAGGCTGGTTTGCCGAAACCACTGGAGGCCGAACTCCCTAATTGCCAGAGGAGTGGTAGCCTTCGGCGTTACAGAGCTGCCGGAGAATGACGCCTTGTCCCACCAGGGAGTCTCTCAACCATGAAATCGATCAGAAAGGACTTACCTGCCAGATTGCATAGCCTCGACACTAGACGCGAAGCTCAGCACATGCACATGACATAGGCACGGCGCTAGCGTATCGGATGAGCTTCGATTCACAGGAGGGTATATGGCCACTTCTTGTGAATGGAAGGTAGCGTATCGACTGGCGTAAGCAGACATGAGATTCGAATTGTACGGTCTCACAGCGCTCACCGATGATCAATCAGTCGTTCCAGCGGATGTAAAAATCAGCGTCGCAAGCCCCGTGCCGGGTGGTGTGTTCGGTGTCAGTAGCGTGATGGCCCAGGACCTATGATGCCTGATCCGGACGAAATTGGCCCCTCAAAAAGGCCTATGCCTGGTCCAGTCCGGTCAAATCGACCAAAAATTTGCGGATGGCCTGCGCCATACTCCGGACAAATCTGACGTGCTCAGGTCGAGGCCTGATCCCAGGCGGCTGTCGGGAGAGGACCGGTCCGGGGAGGCCTTGAGGATATAATGTCGTTGGCGCACTTACTTATACGTCCTTATACCTATGTTTATCTGTTGCTACTTACTTCGTGTCACAGCCATCCATGTGTGTAATATAGGTTGTTGTACATCTAGCCCGAAGTGTGACACCTCCTTACTCAGTCTATCTCCCAATGTCACACCTGTGCAGGCGGCGGACAACGTCAGGAGCATTTCGAATCGCAAGAAGACAAACGAGCTATTGCTAGCCTACGCCGTCACTTAATACTGCTCGCTATAATCCCTATGTCTAG